CCCTCCTCCCACTGGAGGGGGCTGACTTGATACAATATTTTATTGATGGACACTAGTTAGCTGAGTCTCCTCTTTTGACTTGTAAGACTGAGGAACCTCATTATATTTCATGGATCTCCTGAGATCTCCAAGAGCACCTCTTCCTGCCCAACTGAAATAGAGACCCATTTATCTCTGGGAGAAGGCACCCTGGCCCTCCTTAAAGAGGCAGGGCCCAAACTAATGAAAGTTATACAGGATGCCACCTGAACATCTGGAAATTAGAGATTAATGGATTTAGATATTTTTGAGTGGCTCACCCTAAAACAAAACTCCTGCAACCTACCTAATTCTCAGCTTAGATCCTCCCCATCTGGTATCTATAAACACCTGGACCAGAGACTATCTTTTACTTCCCGTAGCCTACTTCCTTACATCAATGGATAGAGATTCCTGGGAGGTTTTGGAGACATCAGGTCTGTGCTTGCGTTTGATACCACTAGACAACAAAAAACCCATCTGTCAACAACCCCGTTCTGAGAAAACTTTTGAGGTAAGTGGAAAGAAATTGAATTCTGATTCTTTAAAAAGGACAAAAAAACTCTACTTGGCTTCCCTCAGGGACCCAGCCACTTTGATCCTGTGGAATTTGATTCATCAGGTACAATATCAACTGCTAAAAGACGTATTTTCTAGGCCATCCCCTGGGAAAGGGGGCCTTAGAGATCACTTCTCGCTGCCCTACTAAGGTACAGAATCACTCTAATTTCATGGCAGGAACTTCTTTCATTCCTTCTCGGGAACTCACTGGAGTACCAGTAGGCTGAAAGGAATAAGCTTTTCCCATTGCTGTTCTGAGGTGTTGGTGGGGAGGTAGTGAGAAGGCCAGGGCATGTTGTGGATGTATTGATTAGAATGAGGGATTAGGATTAGGATTAGGTTTCCTCTATTGCTACCAGGAGCACTGAGGCTAGGAAAGAAGGTTCCCGCCTTCTTTGTGTATATTTTTCAGATGGGAAATTCAACCAGCCTCCCTATGTGAACACACCTCTGGGTCTGTCCTCAAAAGGTGAGAGAATTTGATAATCCCTGAAGAGAAAGCTCCTGATCTTTTATTGTACCCAGGTAGCGATAGGGTAATCAATGAGAGATGATGAGACTTGGCCAGCCGGGGAAGATATAAACTATGCCAGACTACAGCAGCATTTGTTTTATAAAAAGGGAAATGGTCAGATGGTCCTCATGTCCAGGGTTTGTTTGTCCTAAAGGACAATGAAACATTTTGTAAGACTTCTACATTAATTCAGCCTTGCTAATCGCTATAGCACTGGAGGTGGGGATGACAAAAGGCCACCCCGGAGGCCAATGGGCCTCAAGAGAGTCAGCCTTATCACTGAAGGAAGACAAGGGAAGACCAAGGGGGCAGAAGGGGAGAAGGAAAAAAGTCCTGGAACTGCTTTTACCCTCTCTTGAACCAATCTGGGAGGCACCATTCTCCATCATACTTTCTACCCCTCCTGCCACTAACATGACAAGGCATGACCCTTGGATGCATCATATCTGCTTGAAGCCCTGGACAAAGGATGGAGAGACACCAAAGCCAAACCCCTCAACATCAAGAAAGGGCAATTTTACAGTTTATTCCTTTGAATCCCTGGAGGGACTAAGCTGCTTTTTCCAAAAGAAACTAAAAGATAAGTAATGATTGTTAGAGGAGCTTTGATTCATCTCTTATGGATTAAGCATTTCCTTGGGCTCTTAATTCTGGTTCTTCACTGGTGATTTTTGACCTGAGATTTTTAACTGAGAGTTGGGGTTATTTTTACTATCAATAATTAGACCCCAACATCCAACAATGAATTCTGGGCTATTCTTCCCTTTTCCCCTCCTGCTTTCTCTAGCAGGGAGGGTTACAGGGTTAGAAGCTGATTCCCCAAATATATGGATACAAATAGTTTCTGCTATTTGTATCCATATCTCTGTACAACAGAGATATAACTTCACTAATAAGTAGGTGTGTGCTACAATAAGACTTATACCCCAACATGTTAAGGGCAGATGTATAAACCTCACCTCCCTGGCTCATACACATGCTATCCAAAAGCCCTTAAATGACTCTAATCCACTACAGCTGGGAGAGCTTTCAGACTCCCCTCTCTATTACCTAAATAGATACAATGATCTAGGAAACCAATCTTGCAAGGTAGAATTCCCTTTCCTCAAAATACATAATGTCCAATATATACCTTAGTTCATAAATTTAATTCTTTCCATGATTCTGGTCACAAATTGAACTGCATGAGAATCAAATCAAATTCAGTGGTTAGATTCAATGTTGACCTATGGAGAAATTTGATTCAGTTCTCATCAAATTCAGTTTGCAACCTGAATCTTGGAAAGAATCAAGTTCATGAACCAAGGAACCACTGTAATGGAGATTATTATTTCACATTCCTCAAGAGATCCTACCACCCCAGTATCCATATGTCCTACACCTAAGTTCACTATTGTAATAGACAGAAATACTTGACAGTTGTCCTGGTCAAAGCAAATCCTGACCAGTATGATTCTACAAGATGGTATAATTGTTTTTGCCACCTATTACCACAGGGTAGTCTTGATCTCAATGATCAAGCCAGCCAACAATGGACAAATTGGAATCCCTGTTGTCAAAGCCACTTTACGGGGCTTTTATCCCTTTGCCTAGCAGCAGTGGATTTATACTCAGACATTCCAAACCCAAGCCTTACCAGCCATGAGACTCAGAGCCCTGGGATCCATTGCCTGGAAGGTGTTCTAATGATCATGTTTCTGCAAACCTAATGGCTTTATCCTGGGACATGCCACTTGTTGCTTACTTATACTCACATGTGGGGGATCTGGAAGATTAGAAACTACAACCAAAACCCACTTAACTGCTTGAAAAGTGCCAACTCTGCATTAAACCTGAATACACTAATGACGTGCCATTCAAAAGCTCCCTTGGTTGTGGCTTATGAGTTGCTACTGGTGACATCACTTGGCACTTGTTACTCCCTTCCAAGCCACGTGCATGACCCTATGTGAGATATTATCCAGTGCTTAGCTATGGATAACAGTGCTGCAGCTGCTTGGCTCACCAGTCCATAGAGAAGGCTCTGCACAGCCACCACCACTGCTCTGGGCCATCTTTCCTATTCTGCAATAAATTTTATTTTCTCTAAAATTAAGACTGATGCATGTGGTCTCCCACCTTGCAAGCTGGGCAGGCCAAGTGAAATCTCCTTAGGCTGCCAAGAAGCAAGAAAATTTGAGTTACATTAGGAGAATTAAATAAGTCCTTAGAACAGGGCCAATTCTGATAAACACCTGTTAAAGTTTAGTTAATATTATTTGGAATGTATCTGAATTTAATTATTTTATTATTTAAATACCTAAATGGACAAGTTGCAAGTTTTTAAAAATTTTGCATATCCTCAAAAGAGATGCATTCTAGAATACAACCTGACAATAAACATCCAGATGTATTTTATGGACAGCAATTTTTATATTAACTGAAAACAAAGAGTTCTTGGCTTGGACAAGTCCTAATTGGTTTTTAGAAGCACTTAAAATTCCCTGCTAATACAAGTTCTCAGAAATTTGTGTCCATTTTTAAATAATTTTAATTCAGATTATGAGATAAAATCTTTTTCTAGTAATTTTAAAATAAATAATCTTGTTTGGTTACATGAAAATGAACAATTTCTGTTAACGCTGAAACTGGACTACTGTTTTGATACAGTCCCTAAGAAGCTGTCTTCATTATGTAGTTTCACTGTGTATTGTGTTTGAGTTTTTTTGATTTGGTGCTAGGCACAAACCCAGAGCTTCACCACAGATTTTACCACTGACTTATACCACCAGCACCTAGTTTGCCGTTTATAAGCACAACCTAAACTTGAAAACTTAGCAGGGTATGGTGGTGTATGCCTATAGTATCAGCTACTCAGAAGGCTGAGGTCAGAGAATCACTTGAAACTCTGAGTTTGACACCAGCCTGGGAAGCAGTGAAGTCCTCCACTTCAAAAACAAAGAGACAGAGACAAAGACAAAGATAGAGACATGAGATGAGAGAGAGATGAGAAACAGAGAGAGAGAGACAGAGAGAGATCTGAACTCCAAGGAGATAATGTTAACCAATGACATTACACTCTATTTTCAGTTTAAAGAGTAAAAGTGATATTTGGCATTAAAAGTCATAATTATGTTTTTCTTCTATTTATTTTCTTTTTATCTATGAATAAATGGATTTTTTAAAAGTCATGATTACTAAAAATATTCAATAGCTGTGTCTTGAAAAGAAAAACAGTTAAAACAATATTACCTTAAGTTTTTTTGGTTATTCATCTTTTCTAGAAAGCTAAAGCTTCAAGAAATAACAGGTCTCTCATATCTGAGGCACGCTTTAAACTTTAAAAAAATTTACTTCATATTAATCTCAAAGCAAAGCATTTAAATTTTTTGGTGTATAAGCATCTTTCTAGTACCAATATTATAATGGATTGTTTTTAAGGATTTAATTTGCTTTCTCAGGGCAAGGTGATATGTGTCCATTTGGTCAAAGGGTGTTTCAAAATTCAGCCTCCTCAGTTCGCGCTGTAAAGCTTCCCTTGTGCCCCATGCAGTTATTTGCTCTAAAAACCTCACACTATATGGAAATTTACTCAAAGATTTCCTTGATAGCTCTACCTTATATTAAAGACACCTGTCTAACATGTTAGATTGTGAGCTCCTTAAGCCACTTAACCACATTTGTATCACATTCTGCTTTAGATGCTGTAAATGTGGGCTAAAAGTACAGTGAAAGACAAATAAATAAAATAAAATAATTTAATGATTTTCTCAGGGTCATGTAATTGGTAATTAGTAGAGTTAATTCTGGGCCTTTCCAGCTTTCTTTATATTACAATGTTGCCTTGCAGAAAGCAATGTCACAATGACTTGAAGGGGAACTTTTAGGGTGGGGCTGTTACTTGGCAGCCACTTTTCTATTTGTTTTTCTAGGTTAAAGTCCATGTAGATGAGTGTTGATTCATGGAGATAATTTATGAGACATTAATCGCAACTACCTATGAAGAACCATTCAAGTCCAGCGCTTCCAGGAAACCCACAAAGTCCCAGGCATATGATCTACCACAACTTATCGACACCACGAAGCCATTCCTTTGGGACTTTTCTCTTGGTAATCACGTTCATGCTCTAGTGAATGTATGAAAACTCACCCAGTTTTGTAGTCTAAAAGGAAAGAGGTGGGGGTATACATAGGATTATTTGCGGAGCCTGATCCCCGGTTGGATGAGGGAGAGTTCTGTTTAACATGATAAGCCTTGGTAAGGAGTAGCACCCACTTATATAAAGAAGCACCTTTTTAAAATTGTTATTTGTACAGCCCTTAGAGATTGCTGTAGTCCTGGGCATGGAGGTGATAGATTAGATATACATTAACATTTTTATCAATTCTGGGTTACTTTGTATACAAAATTTGTCCCTGTTTAATGTTTAAATTCTCATAGCAGCCCTAGGAGGAAAACAATCTTTAGTGTTTTACAGACAAATCAAAGCATAGATAATTTAAGTAACTTCAGATACTTGTTGAAAACCAAAGCCTGTGTTCACTCTTCTACCCCAGATGGAAATGTGTAATCTGTAAGAAAGTCTTGGAAGTAGGATTTAACAAATCTGTTTCCCTCTTACCTCTTTCACTAAACACACCTATTCTTTGGATTTTAGGATTTTTATTCCGAGTCAGAGTTTCTTAACTTTATTGAGACTCAAAGCTTACTTTAAATAATAAATTATTTTATAATACTTTCCTTTATTATCTTAAAATTAAATTTGCAGGTAATTTGAACTATATAATTTCATAAATGACTCAATATAATACCAGAAGTATTCTGTCTTTAAAAGTTTTGACATTCCTTCTTTTTTTTAAGACAGGATCTCACTATGCAGTTTAGACTGGCCTTGAACTCACTAGATAGCCCAAGACGGTCTCAAATTACTTTCAGTACTATTAATTCATTATGTGACTAGGCAGGGCCCTGAAGGGTGTTTAGTTTCCCTGGTCTGTTGACCAGTAGCATCACTTTAATAAATTTCTAAGTAAAAAATGCCTTCCCCCGAATAAAAGAAAGGATGAGCTTAAGGAAATAGATATGCTTACCCCAACTTGAATTTCACACAACTGAAACATCATATGATAACCCATAAGTACAGTTATTATGTGCCAATTAAAAATTATTTTTAATGCAAAAGAATGTTTCCATAAATTTCCCAAATAACTTCTAGGTCTTATTATCACCTTTTTGGGAAACCCTCCATTAGATCTATAAGACAGCCCAAGAATATCTGTGGATCATTGGCAAAGGGCACTACAGACCAGTTACATTGTGTTTTCTGTTACCTCCCATATCAGGACAACTCCTAAACCTAAGGCCACCCTAAAATCTACGTTAAACAAGTTAGTGTTAATATCCAGGATACTATAAAGAAGGAAACAGCAAGCATTCTGACATTTTTTCCTTCTGTTAGGACGAGGGGGCTCACAAACAGGCTGGATGCCCCTTCAGTGATAATAACCTCTTCTACAGTCAGGTACACCAGAAACTACATAATAATGATTATCATAGTCCTCCCAACTCTGAAAAGAAATTATTATTGCCAATTTGGAGATAAGAAAAAATGCGTTTAGAAAGTAAAAGTTTGGGGCCTGGGATGTAGCTCAGTGGCACAGCGCCTGCCTGGCAAGAGCAAGGTAGTGAGTTTGATTCCCAGTACTGAAAGAAAAGGAAAAAAAAAAAAAAAAAAAAGCCAGGGATTCAGCTCAGCGGCACAAACGCCTGCCTAGCAAGTATGAGGTCATGAGTTGGTATCCTGGTATCAAATAAGTAAATAAAAGGTTGCCCAAGAGTTTAAAACAGTATCATGCACTTCTATGATTTCACTGCACTTTGATTGTTACACATAAAGCCACTAATATTTTTAAGAAAAACAAAACAAAACAAATCTTATGCAGGTTCTCCTTCCCCTCCTCTGTTCCTGACCCCATGAGGCAGAAACGAGCAACCTGAATGGAAGATTTGAGAAAAAGAAAAATGGGTCCAAAAGGGACCAAACAGAATCAGAACAGCTCAACCAAGTCCCTCACTGCCCTGCTTTGGGCGCTGCCCAAGGCGCCCCTTCTCCTAATCGCAGCCTCTTTTTCTTTCTCCCTGATCTATGTGGTCTGGACTTCAGGGAACTCTAAACTGCACTGTCCTTACCCATACTATACTGTCATTTCCAAAGCCCTTCGCCACTCCCTTCCACACAGCCCTTCCAACCGCAGGTCTGGCAGACCGCGTACCCCTAGCCCGGCTGCGGAGCCCACAGTCAGCTCCTGGGCTCCGGCTCCAAACTCCCCACCCCAACCCCAGCAAGCGCTCTCTAGGGAACGCCCATTTTGCTGCGCAGGCGCGCTGGGGGCGATCCCCGCCCAGAATCCGGTTTGGGGCTCGCAGTGCCTGCCCCTGTTTCCTTGGCAGCGAAGTACTTGAGTGTGAGCCCTAATCGTGCTAGCGATGTGTTTCAGCAAAGTGGGTGAGAAGGACTTCAGGGGAGTCCAGACTAGAGGGCAGGCGAAGGGAGGAGAGCCTAGGAAAGATGTAGGAGGAGGGAGTACCCTTTGACTCCTCCGCGGAGTTCTGTCCGTTTTTTGTAAGAATTTAGTGGGCCCAGCCCTCTGCTCCCCCTGCCCTCTCCAAATGCAGAACTCCATTGCAGAGACTGAGATGCCTTCCTTCACCTGTAGTTTCTCCTCTTTCCTGATCTTAAGGACCTGTGGATGTCTACTCCTTTGGAACACGTCAACAGAGGAAGCTCTTTCCTCTTTACCATCCTCCAAACCAATTGGGGAATTATTTTCTCCCTCTTAGAGGATCGCCTCACACAGGGCCTGGGCATTACTTGTCAAAAGATGTGAGTATGGACTTCCCCTTAGATGAGTCTCATTTCTCTGGGTACGGAAATATATCCAAGTTCCCTGAAGAAAAACTACAGGGTTTTTGGACTTCTGGGTCTCGACCTGAGCCAATTACCTGGTAAGCAGCTGGCCGTTGGAGTCAATAGAGGGGTGAAAAGCCAAGGGCTTCATCCTTGCTTGCTACCCGCACTAAACCAGAGCCTTGTTTTCCTATAGAACCCATTCCATCCTCACTTGCAAACGCCTCTCAACCAATGCCCAAACTACCATCCTCTGGCTAACTATTGTGTAAGAACAAGTGCACTTTGGTGGAACTCAAATTGGATTTATAGAAATTCCGTTCATTTTATCAGCCCAGCGACATCCTTTTGCAAAGTTACATGTGTTATTTATGTATTGGGTGTGTGGGCTTGACCTTGACATAGTCAAGAAAAAAGCACAGAAGGTTCAAGTGGAAATATTCAAAGTTCACTCCATTTTAAAGGTTGTTCCCTGACTGTGTTACTGGTGTTTTTCTTTTTACTTTTTTTTTTTTTTAATACCACTCAAAGTAGTATGGCCTGGCATACAAGCTGTCTCAGATTCCAACCAGTACAAAAGGATATGCGATCGGAGCCAGAACAGCCGAGAGGTTTAAACCACTCAATAAGGTAATGTACTGGGATTTAGGGTGATCTGGGTTGCTTCAAGAAACGCTTGAACATTAGTATTGCACATGTGTATGTGACTATACTGGGTAAAACAGAAAAACATTTACTGAAGAAATGGTCCCAAGGCAGGGTTCTGGTACTGAAATGCTTAAGGTTAAAGTGCTGGAAGCTATGTTTGCACATCATACAATCTTGTTTGTTAAAAAATAAATTCCAACTCTTCCATCCTTTTGTGTGACTGGATTTTAAGAACAGGATCCTAATCTGTCTCCCTCTGCCACGCCACTGTCCTGGGGAATTAAACCCAGGTCCTTGTGTACCAGGCAGATGGTCATCCACTGAGCTAACATACCCAACCCAAGGATCCTAATCTCTCGCTGGATGCTTCCAGACATGTAAATTCAAGCACTAAGGATGCTGGTTCTAAAATCTCTCAGTGAGGTGGTAAACATAGTGATTACCTTGGTTCTTTACCCATTATGGTTTATTTCTACAACCGGAGCATTATGTATCCTTAGCCAAATGGCATCCATATCTTGGTTTTCTACCTACTTAGGCCTATTTCTATATCTTAAGTGACCAAGACATAGCTACATTTTTTGAACAGGCAAGGGGTATTATTTTTTTAACCTGCAAAGCTTTATTTGTGTGTATATAAATATAAAAACATCCTCTAATACACTCATCTTTTTCTTGGCAATAGGATGTGACCCCTTGCCCGGGCAAGTACCAGAAGGTAGATACTTCAGAGGAAAAACACAAACAAAATTTTGCTCCATTTAATGTCTTGATACCTCGATCTGGAAATTTTTCAAAGGACACTTCTTATCCTGGGTATGTCTCCTGTTTTTTGGTGTACTTCAGTGAAAGAAGTACATATAGCCCAGTTTACATCCAAACCATCCCAGCTAAATAAGAAACATCCATAGTTAAAGATTTAACCCTTTACTGGCATTTTGTATTGTACATTAACAAATATTCATTCAATAATTATTTGTTAATGTGCCAGACAGTTCTTCTAGGTTCTAGAAGTCATGTAATAAACTCATTACACAAGGCTCCTGGTTTCTTGGAGCTAACATTCTAAACTACGTACAGAGGAGAAGCAAATACACAAGAAAATACCAATAGTAACAAATAGAGAAGCTTTATAATTTATCAGTTAAACAATGACACTTCTGAGAGTGAAAGAAGCCTAGTAATAATTAGATCGGGACAGTGGCCATCAGCTAGAATTATGATAGGCAAATGAAGAAGTGTGACAACCTGAATAGGCATTATGAAGGAAATAAAACAGGGTAATGATATAAAAGATTGATGAGCTGGAGGCTTTCTCAACCTGGGTTCTGAGCAATTGATACTTCATTTGAGACCTAAATGAAAAGACTGAGCTAACCCTGCAAAGAATTGGAAACAGCATCTCATGGAAAAGAAAATGCAAAGGCTGTAAACTGGGAAAGAATTTGAAAAAGGGAGAATGTTAGTGTGGCTAGAATATACCATGAAAGGAGAAATGAAAAGTCAGAAAAATGATAGGCTAGAGTATATAGAACTTATTAAAGACTTATTCTAAATGCTTCCGGAAATCATTTAGAATCTATGACAATGCAGGGCAAATGGTCATGGTCTTTCTTTTACTAAAAAGAAATCCAAAGATTGGAGAGTGAATGTAGCTTTTTCAAAGCTTGTATTAAGGAAGTTATTTATGTCTTGACCTCTACATCCGCTCTTAGTGTTATTTCTCCCACAGTAGAATCTACAGCAAAAGACAAAGTGTTGTGAACAGAGGCAATTCTTTTTTTTAAACAAAGGCATTTCTAACATAATCTGTTGTCAAGAAAATTTAATGTGGTCTGTTTTGCTGTCGCTGCATTACAGATAGACTGTCTCTTCACTTCTATCACCAACTTCAAGTTGTGAGCTGTACACTTATGACTGTTGTAGAAATCTTTCAATACCTACCTCTTCTGAGATCTTATTTCTCAGATTAGGACACTGGATTACAGAAGTATATTTTAAACTAGCGGTCTTTATCTGGATGTCAAGATTTGTTACCTTTAACACTAACATCCAATTAGACGTACATTAACAGATAAATGAATCCCATCTTTGCTTGACATTAAAAAGTTTATCTGTCTGTTGCCTTTTCCCAAGGGTTAGGCCTAGTTCATAGATGACTGTGCTACTGGTGGAGTTCACATACGATTACTAATTAATTAAAAGTGATGCCTGTATTTTCATTTCTAGCCCTGGCTTTTATAACCCAGAGAAGAAGCCACCCCCAAAAGTTGCTTGGCCAATGAAATTTGGGTCTCCAGACTGGGCTCAGGTTCCATGTCTGCAGAAAAGAACCCTAAAAGCTGAGGTAATAAAAATGGACTTCTGGGCTGGGAATGTAGCTCAGTAGTAGAGTGCTTGTCTAGCATGCACAAGGCATGCACAATTGGATACTCAGTACCACCAAAAAAAGGTAGACTTTTGTGGACCAATTTATTATTTTCATATGTATCAGGGATTCTTAACCAGGAGTCTACAAATGAACTTCAGGAAGTACCTGGTCCCTTGAAAGTATATGTAGTTTTGTGTGCATATGAATATGAGGATCTTTTTGGAGGGTTACATGATTTCATTCATTTCATTTTTAAACGTATGCATGGCTGGCCAAAAATGACACTTTCTTACTTGAATCTCAATCTTTTGGGATAAGTACAGGATAATATATTCTTTATATGGCAGAAAAAGATATTGGGGCCAAAGAGACTGAGTGATTTGTGAAGGTTATGAGGCTGGAATTTAGATCTTAGAACTTTTAGTACATCATTTCAGTGTTAAATCCCTAGAAAGCTGTAGAGAACTCTGGTTAAGAGCATGGATTCTGAGGACAGTATGGCCTGTGTTCAAATATTTGTCCCAGAATGGACTTGCTGTGTGCTTATAGACAAGTCTTGTGAATTTTCTAAGTCTAAATTTTCTATTATAAAATCCATATAATAATAAAATTGATATATACATTTTTTCTAGTAGAACTCAGGGTTAATTCCACAAGCATTTATTAAATGCCTAATGTATTATCTTTGTGGTAGGGTCTATGAAAACATTTAAGAATTAACACATTCATATTAGTATTGTAATACTAATACCTCCTTGCTTCCAGGAGGCTCTGATTTGAATTCCATAACCTGATGTTAAATAATTAACCCTACTGGTGGTTCAGACTGCCTAATGGGTAGTGGTTCAAGTTAGTAGGGACATGTCAGTGTTTATAATTTGCACAGCCAGAAAGACGAGAAGCACAAGATTAGCATATTGAGCTGAACAGTATTCTTTCATTTACAGTTGTCCACAGACAGAGAGTTTCGAAAGTATCGGAGCCGTGTTGCCTACTTCAGACTGTTCTATAACTGAAATGTGGTCATTATCTCCATGCACTCCTCCTGACCACAGAATCTTCAGAATTGAAGATAGAGTTGCTCTTCTCCTTCTGTATTGCTGTGGCTCTCTCATCTATCAGCTTGGGGCCTAGGGAGGAGTAACAATTTCAAAACTACCATTTGCGAGTATGATAAAGACTAATTCACAATGCTGCAACTCCATATGTTGATGTGTGATCTGGGGGGTCCTCTTGGGTATGTAGATGGATCCACAACTACCACAACAATCCCACACTCCTGAAGAAAGTTAGGAAAACATCTGTTTTTGGATAATCTAAGAAGTGAAAGCCCTCCATTGTTGGCATATCGGAGAGTAACATTCCTTGAAGAACGCATCTCCCAGAAACCATAAGGGCTGTTCACAACCTCAAGCCTACAGTAGCCATTGTCCTGCAGAGACAAAGAACATAAAGATATAACCAACTGCACTGTAGGCACCTTTTCCCACAGGAACTTAACTGCTTTACATTTCATGACTTCCATGAAGAGTCTGAATTTTTGCTCAGTGTTGACTTGGCCCCTATTGATCTCCCCATAGCTATTCAGTTGTGGGTTAGGACATATAATGTCCAGGTGCCTGGGTCCACCTAATCACAGTATCCAGGAAGGCTCAGAGTGAAAATATGTGTATTAGGAGACATAAGCAGAGAGAACTGGCAATGAAAGTCATAGAGAGCTTGTTCTGTCCATACCTACAATTGACCACAAACAGGAAAGATGTGAAACAGATACTCTAGGAAACTGGGAGCCCAGAAAAGGGGCCCAAGTCCCGTTTCCTTCCTGTGAGCCCCCTGGAAGATTTTCCCTTTTACCTTTCAGCAGAAGATGCTTGAGAGCATGGAAGACCTAATCTGACTCCCAGACTCAACACTGACCAGCTCCTCTTGATTCCTTGAGTCTTCTCCTTAAATACATCACAGCTCTTGGATGTTGGTTGTATTGGCATGGCCATAAAAAATGAAGCTCATTCTAGAACACGGTATCTAAACTTTGGTAGGACAATTAGAAAGGGGGGATGGGAAATGCAATTTTAGAAGCATTCTTTCACACTCAAGTTCACTGTTGTGTGCCTGTGTCCACATACTACAGTGCATGCCCATTCACAGGTGTACACGTGCACACAGGACATCTGACACTTACAGAATTAAGATTTCATCTGGACATAGATTCCTGCATGCAGAGAAAAGTAAACCACAGACATCAGTACAAAGGGGAACCTATGTGAAGACAAAAACAGTAAAGCCCATAGGTGTATTTTCAGGGAAGAAAGAAATCAAAATTTTAAAAAGGTATTGCTCCCTGGCTCTAATTCACAGTAGTCAAGTGACAGTAGCCACATAAATCTCCAGTTTGCTACTATGATCTGAAATGTATTTAGAAGCACCTTTTGCTTGTCATCCCACCATCGGTCTGCAGAAAGTTGGCACTGCTCCCTTCTCATCTTGTCTTACACTGAGGCTCATGTCTGAAACTATGTCCCCACCCAGTCCTTCCCATGAGGGGCTCAGGTATCCTCCACCCTCTTCCTGGTCTGTTTTGTAAACTCATTGCATTCAGGCTTCTATGTTGAATGTATAGAGAAGTCTGGCTTTTGATTACCAACATTGCCTTTCTGAACCTTCTGACCTGCTGCTGTCTACAAAACATGTACTGCTGGGAACAGCTAATAGTGATCCTGCTACCCACAGTTCCACATGGAAGTATACATTAGTGGCCTGGTTACAGATGTAACATGTGAGGAGAGCACTAGGATAAAGAGAATTGAGTGCCTCTGCTAAAGATGTGGGCCACACTTACCCCTGTTCCCCCATACAGCAGCTCTTCATTCTGCCTTTTCCAGGAAGCTAGGTCAAACCTATTACACATGTGCCATCTAACCCTTCCCTGCATTTGTGATTACTGGAATAATGTCCTCAGTCCTGGTCTGGTAATCTTTCCACCTCGAACTAAAAGCTCTTGGGCGACTGAGGCTATGTTTTATCGTGTTCAATTTGCCATATGGAATCCAGAAGAGAGCACCAAAAACAGGGCATATAATTAACTAATTAATGCATTTTAACACCTACTATGTGCATAATATTCTTTCAGGAATTATGAAGATTTCAAGAATGATTTAAGGAGAAGGTTTGTTCTTACTATCTTTTTACTTGTAAAAACAAACATCAATATACTTATTTATGTAACTGTGTTTGATATTCAGCATGTTATTCTTAAACTTCTCAGTTCAAGTAAATCTTCCCACCCTAAGAGTGTTGAAACTGTAGTGCATGCCAGTATACTCAGCTAAAAGACACCTTATTTATTATATTTTGTTGAATCATTAACACTGAAATAGTGGCTCACATAACTATAATCTCATACCTGGAAGATCAAAGCTCACCTAGATTTTTACATCTTCATGCTTTTTGTTCTTACTGTTTCTAAGGAACTTATTGTAATAGAGATGACACAATACAATACATTAAGCCATATGACCAATACCGTAAAGCAATAGTGGTTAAAGTCTGTAATACAGTATATAAAATCTCACATGACTCAGTCTTTAATTTCTTTTTTTTATTTTGGAGAGAATAAAATCAAATGAGAGAAAACAAAATGGGGTCAGTCAAAACAAAAGGATGGACATAGTACATGAATTAAAACCAAAATACAAGGTGATCGACAATGGTTGCCATAATGTCTCGTTATTTTCAATAGAATTTCCCGTATCATCAGGCATAATAAAACTGAACATAGCAGTACAAAACAAAATCGATAAAAACAAAACATTGGAGACATTATAGGACTTTAAAAGAAGATAATAGTCAAACCAGAATCAGTATCATAATGAATCTTACTGTCCAGGTAAGTTGCCTATACCCTCAGACTTGATACTATCAAACGTAACATTCAAATAAAATCAGTCAAGACAAGACAGCAGTCAAAACAGATTCAAATAAGATCAGTCAATATAAGACAGTGAAAGCAATACAGGGCTTCAAATTAAATTAATAGAAAATCAAAAATGTTTACCATAGCATATCCTACTATCTTTGGAATAGCTGTCCATGCCATCAAATCTAGTACAAGTAGAAAAACTGGAAAAGAATATAACCAAACTAAACAGAGCGATGAGAACAATATGGGTTTCAAATCATGATACAAGATTAACAATGTCCTCCACCTTTGGTTTTTAGACAATTCCTCCTCTTTCACAGGGTGCATTGTACATTTTGTATCCCACTAACTCCTTTATTTTTTGGATTAGGGAGGCAACTCACTATTTACCTAAATAGTTCTGAACCTTTTTACCCCTGAACATGATCTCAAGTTGTATCCATTTATCTACAAGAGCCTCAAGGTTTTCCTTCCTTATAGCTGAGTAGTTCTCCATTGTATAAAAGTGTTATGTCTTTCCAACCAATCTGCAGCTTCAGGGGGAGCTACTTCTACTTTTTTCTAGTTCCCTGTCACATAGAGCATTATTTTCTCATCTTTGATTTTCAGGCCATAAACCTGCTTTCAGGTTAAATGTATTTCTTATATAGAGCTTCTTGATGGGCCCTATCTCCTGACCCACTCTGACAGTGTTTCTTTTTCTTAGTATATTGAAGCCATCCATGTTAGCGATTATGGCCAACCTTCTCTGCCTCATCTCTGGCACGCTATTTTTCTACCATTGGTTGCCTGCTTTTCCCCTTCATTCCAGTGTCCATCCCATTCAATTGAGACTCCTCTGCCACTATTCCTGAAACCATGGTCTTTTCTCTCTCTCTAGAATGTCCTTTGGTATTTTTTGTAGGGTTGAATTGGTGGCCATGAACTCCTCTAGTTCCTCTTTGTCATGGAAGCATCTTGTTTCTCTATTAATTTTGAGAGATAGTTTTTCAGGGTACATCAATCTAGGTTGGAGGTTATTTTCTTTAAGGGCTTGGAATACTTCACTCCAACCTCTTCTTGATTTGATGGTTTATGTTGATAAGTCTGTAGTGATTCTGATGGGTTTTCCTTTATAGGTGATTTCTTTTCTCTGAAAGCTTTTAATATTCTGTTCTTGTGTTGAATTTCTAGGATCTTGATTATTAAACATCTGAGTGTAGATCTATTTTGGTTATACCTGGCTGGAGTTCTAAATGCCTCATATATCGGAATATCATTTCCTTTCCGTATGCTTGGGAAGTTTTCTTTAATTATTTCTGTAAACAGCCTTTGTATTTTATTTGTGTTTTCCCCTGCTTCTTCACTCACATTTTTTATTCTTAAGTTATAGATCCTCTTGTCATCTTCTAGCCTTTGTATTGTTACTTCCTGGTTCCTTGTTATCTTTTTTTTTAAGAGAGCTTTCCTTTCATGATCACACATTGCAAACCTGTCTTTAAGGTTTGATAGTCTGTCTTTAGTTTCTTTCAAGCAGTTTTGTCAGCTTTCAATGGAGTTTTTAATTTCCTGGTAAACTCTTTGAATCTGTTTCATGTATTCTAGATTTTTTTTATATTCTTCATTGAAGGTTTCCCTCCTTTTTCTATGCTCCTCTATTCTTCCATCTGTGTCTTCTTGAGAGATGCTTAGCATTTGTTTTATTATTTTTCTTGCATCTTCCTTTACTTGTATTAATATTTTTGTTTTAAGTTCTTTTATAATTTCATGAAGATATTTTTTATGTCAGATGCAATTTCTTCAGAAACTGCAGGTGTGCAACTCCCAGTCTCTTCTGTGTTTACCTCTCCTCAACCAGTACTGCTTGGGTTGGAGGCTGGAGACTGCCTTTTGTTTCTTCCTCTTGTCATGTTTCCAGTTTCTTCCAGACAAGTGAATAGTGGGGTCTTCAGCACTTCCTGTATGGGTTATAATTACTCTGAAGCATGTTGGCTAGGGATTGCTGTCCTCCCCAATCTTTTGATGACCACTGGAGTACAAGCAGGGGCAGGACAGGCTGACTCCTCCCTTCTGAGCTGGTCAATCACTAGGAGTCTTTACCAAATTAGTGTGTGCTGCATGGTCAGGGCTGGTTAGCGATAGCTTTTGGGAAACCTCAGCCTTGGCTATTGGATCATGCAGAGGGGTAGGACTCAGTCTAAGCAATTCTCACCAAACTGCTCTGTGCTATGAGTGGCTAATGAAGCCAGCTGCAGTTCTTGTACCAGGCTTATCTTGCCTGACTCCAAAATGTTGCCCAGCCAATTGCCCACTCCTGTAGGAGAACTGAGTCCCCCACATTCACTGCAAACCAGTGCAGTTGTCCAGTCTGCCACTACTCTCCATGACCACATCCTCCCACCAAGGCCCTCGGGCTTGCCAACCCCCAACTTCACCGTGACCGTGCATCTTCAGATTCCAGTGGCATTGCACACACACTGGTAATGGCTCTGGTGAGAGCATGTCTAGCTACTGCCTTCTGTCCAAGTTTTTCTTTTCTTTTTCTTTTTTTCACTTAATTTCTTCCTGGGTCAAGAGGATCCATCTCCTTCCATCTGGTCTTCTGCAGAGTGCAGTATTCCAGCATCTGGGCTGTTTCTCTCAGAGAGGCTTTTTACTTTGTTGCTTATTGATATGCCATCTTTCCAGCTCCCTGCTTAGTCTTTAATTTCTTGACCAGATTTTTCTGCTACTCTACTTTTCCTCTTCACTCACATAAATTCTGGGGTTCTATATATAAGCCAAGGGTTATCCAGGGTTCTTTGAGATAAAGTGAGTGGTGACTAAAACAGATACCACAGTCCAGTGGAGGGGCCAGGCACAACAAAAACAAAAATGATGCTTAATTACAGCCTGAATAAGTGCCATGAAGAAAGGCAATGTGCCAGATAAAGGGGAATTTGCCTATTATGGGGTGGCAATTGGTATCAGACAAGGAGTTTTCTGAGCAAGTGACATTAGGATGAGTAGAACTAGGTCACGTGAAAAACACATCTTCATCCCAAGCACACTAAACTAGACCCCCCCCAACATATCAAGATCTTCTTTTCTTTACTCTTGAACTTGGACTGTTTTCCCTTTCTTAGTGACAAGAACATTAATTGTGTCAGAAGCACAGTTAAAAACTGCAGTGTTGAAAGTAAGAAATCACTGCACACTGGGCCTCTTAAGGATAGGGGTGGGGAGTAGAAGTTAATATGGACTTTGAAGAATGCTTAAAATTCAGGTAAACACTGAAAGAGATATGATCAAAATGTGAAGTTAAAAGGTTATAGTAAAGCATGAGAAGTAGAAGTTATATCAGGAAGTAGTGGTCAAGATGTAATGATTCAGGGGAGACCATATTTTTATATGAACTTGAGGATGGGTTAGAGTTTTGTCTTTAATTTCTCTTTGATAGAGAAATCTTGAGGTCTTTTGAGTGCAGACATAATGAATTCATGCCCATGAGGTTTGTAATACGTAATCTTGTGCTTAAATTTGGCTTGATTAACATAACTTTAGATAAGTTAGTTATTGATATATTTATTCACAGAATGAAATGTATTGCTGATCTTGCAATGTTAATGTGAAAATTATGTACAATAATTATCTAAAAATACTTAGCTGAGTATTTGATGTGTATTAAAAATCAATGAGAACTACTATTTTTACTAATGGTGGAACTGGTAAAAATTGTGCTGATGGGGATAATAAAGCTCCTGAGAACAAAGGCATAGATTTGGTGTATACATGATATAGTAATTCAGAATGCCTGGGAGTGATACTTCAGCTCCACGTTGAGGCTCAGTAATTCCTTTAAAAAGTTCAGACAAGAGCTAGAAGCCACTTTCCTGAACCCCAGGACTATCTCAGCTTAGGGATTTAGAGATTATTCAAGAACTAAGTTTTCCAAGTGAGAGTAGTAATGGTGGAAGATATATTGAATGAGCTGCCCCTGTGGTCATATTCACTACATAACCATTGAAGCATTCCCTTACCATCAGATTTGATATGCCTTTCTCAGGAATCCATTAACTTCTGAATAGTAGAAGAGGATTCTGGGTTCATTCTCACTCATACCAATCTCCTGGTTATTGATGATGATGTTGTGAACCTCTAGCAAGTAGACAATGCAGCTTGAAAATTCAGGTGAATAAATGTTTCCCAGTCTTCAATACTTAGGGTCTACAATCTAGAAATTATGGGGAAATAAATTAGCTTTTTGCATCCAGGGCTCAACTATTAGGTGAGAGTAAAAAGTGAAGGTGTAACAGGGTCACATATGTTTCTTGAGGAAAAAAGAATATGTATGTTAGGGAAGTAATAAGGTGATTGTTCTCTGGTGGTGCCAAGTAACAGGAACTGTGGTTGATTGGTCTAAAAGAATGAGGAAAGAGATATATTTTCGAGGGCATGTTTTCAAATATTCAACGTGTAATTTTGTGGGAAAGAAAGTAGATTCATTCCATGTGGTTCCAGAAATCAAAGTTAAAATTACACCCATGTGCTGGTGATGGCTTATCAGTAATGGCATCTTTACTGAAACAGTACTTGGTAGCTGGATCAACTTTTGAATTGTTCATTAGGAACTGATTCATTACACCCTTTTCCTCCATTGCCTGGAAGGAATACTTCCCTTTCTTCAAATTGATTACAGAGAATAGGGTAAATAAAAGGAAAGAACTTCATCTTGCTCCTGATGAAACTATTCCTTCAATGATCTAAACTGGAGTTTTCAATTATCTTTAGTATTCTATTCAAAGAATGAAATATATTGCTGATCTTTTATA